TTGTATTATGTAATGGTATTTATTACAATATTTTTTTAATTAAACAGTAGGTTTTTTCAATATTTATGAATTGTGTATAGGTACATATTGTCAGAATTTTACGAGCTTAAAATAACTTTCAGGGCGCGCTATTATCAACCTTCTGCATATCCTGAAAAAGAGGCCTGCGCACGCCTATGATTTTATTAGTATTATTATAAATATAAATAAATCTAGACCTATCTACCTCGATGCCTATATATGTGTATGAAGTATCTACCGTGTAAAAGTATTATGTACTTATTATGTAGAAAATATACAATATACCTAACCTAATCAAAGAAAAATATTAGCTTATAACTCAGGATTCTGGATAAGTAACAAAATTATAATTTATATGACATCATATTATTATATAATATATTAATTAGTACAGTACTCCAGGAAGTCATTTATTGACATAGAAAAATAAAAATAAAATTGTAAATGGATATTTTGAGCGAGATTATTAATTGATTTCTACTCGTGAGAAAATGTATAATAGGAAAATTAGGTATGTAAAAATTAAATTTATGAAAAAAAAATAATAAATACGTACTTGTGGTTTTTTAGACAAATGCAGTTAATAATAATAATAAAAAAAATATATTCAGTACTGTGCATTAATATTAAACGAAAAAAAAAACAATTCGATAAATACCCATATTATATTACCTATACCTAATTATCGTCATATTATAAACTACCAACAGCAGCAGCTATGTTAATGCAATAAATCAAAACAATATTACAATATAATACACTCCAAATACATACCACAATTAATCACGATGGCGATATACAATTGAGGGTAAAAAAAAAAAATCAAAAACTGTAACGGAATACGACGTTGCGTTCAACTACTTAACGCGAGCAGCGAGGTAACGAATAACGATGGATCTGCGAGAAGCGAGACTGCCGAGACTGTGAACAGCGCGAACGTTGTAGTGTTGTACACACAAGCTAGGCACATAATACAATAACACTAATAACAGCAGTAGGGCATTAAATTTGATTATGAAGAATCATGAGAAAGATGTACACAATAAAATAACGATTGTGTACAAGTGTACAACACACAGATACTCGGATAATGTTTTTCAGTTGGCGATTACCGTTTTTAGACGAACTACGGACGAAATCGATTTGATAACAATAAATTGACGAGCAATACTCCAGAATCGCTTTGTTCTATTAATAAATTTATAGCTAGGTGTTTTCGAGAAATAATCCCACATCGATGTTATAACTTATTAGGCTCTAAATAGAAATAAAATACATGGACTGTTTGAACCATGGACAGGCGGTGAATTAGTATAGTATTATACAATCTTAAAATACAATTATATTGGTAAATGAAGTATGCGCGTATGAATCGTATGATAAATCTAAAATAAATAGAAACATATTCTACCCCTATGGCCCTATCAATCTATCATAGTCTGACGGAGACATTCTATTTTTCTATTCTCAATTCTCATTTCTCATTCATACAATTGTTACCCTTGTCCCTTGGTGAATTTACAAATATTAGAATTTATTATAAACACCAATATTTATAGTTAATGATATTAGGTTTTCGTTATTAATTCTTGTTTATCTCTAACGCGGTATATCACATTCATGAACATTAGAGGAAGGACGCCGAACTATGCATATAAAAGTGGTCCAAAATTATCGCATTCCGCCAGAATGCGCGTCGGACAGTTGTGATGTCGTTTTACATGTACAGCATAGGGAATTTATTGGTTTATTAATATTATCTAATAAAAATAAAATGTATATAATATTGTAGGTATTATTAGGTATTATAAAAAATTAGTATATTATTTTATATTATCACTTGACATATTTTTGATACAGCTATATCAATGACAATATACATATAACTATATAAGACGTGTATTTATAACTTGTTTTTAGAACAGTGAATTTATATTAAACATTTCAACATAATTAAAATATAATAATATTACCTATATATATATAATTAATATAATTTTTAAATATATTCTTTGAAGAATAGACGTACAAATTTTTATATAATTGTCATAACTATTTTATTATATTTCATATTACCTACTTATAGAGTGAAATTGCCGATTTCATGAAATCTGCATCGCTGTTGCCGACAACGTGAAATCGGCAAGACCATTCTTAAAATAATGATAACACATCATTCAATATAAATTAATGTGTTATATTTATGATTGTACATAAACATTGGAAATATAATAAAATCATATTGTAATAATAAATTATGTTTATTATGCTTGAGATTTTAAATTTTGTGCAGCAATGTTGCGTCGTGTTGTAGCAGGATGATCGGAAACTACCTCTTCAGTGTTCTATATAAAAAAAAATAATTAATAACTGACTAATTTTCCAAAAAATCGACTTACTTCGTCAGTGTCACTTTCAATCTCCAAAATGTTTCGTGTGGTCTTTATCAAATTATCAAGCTTCTGCTGTACTTCATTTTCGGGTGTAATATGAGCACGTAGTATTGGTTTCTAGTAGTTCAGCTGTATCATGTGTAACCTCTAAATCATTTGTCTTTAAAAATAAATAAAAAAGTATTTAAATACATTCCAAGTATTTGTATTTGTATAAAAAAAATTAGTTCAACTTCTTTTATTTTTAACCAAAAAATGCATTATTCAAAATCAATTATAATATATAATATAGTATAGTATAGTGCGTTGACATATATTATAAATTATAATATATTCTAGATAACATTTTTGAATTATTATTAGGTAAATATTAATATTAAAATTGGTTAATAAATAAATAAAAAATGCGATCCCTTATATTATTAATTCTACTCACTTCAGTATTGAGTACTTCTACGTCATCATCGTTCAACATGTCCAACATATCTTCTTCCAAAGTTCCTGTCAWTATATTTTCTAATAATTCTCGAGGTACTTTTGTTGCCAGCCCCATTCGTGCTTTTTGACCAAAAACTGCTTCATATGGAGTCATCTTTATAGCTTCGTGGTATGTGGTATTAACGCCCCATTGTACAAAGTCGAGGCCGTAACTCCACGCGGCAGTTTTGTTGTCTCGCATCCACGCCACCAGTGAATCCTTAAGCGTACAATTCCCTCTCTCTACAGATCCTTGGCYTTGTGGATAACGTGGCCGACCGTTTATTAATATTAGATCGGGCCATAATGACGCTAATTCTGTTATAATACCAGCAGTAAATTCGCGACCATTATCGGACTGCAGAACATGAGGTGCACMAAACGTCAAAAATATGTGTAGCAGTTCTTTCGCTACTTCCGAAGCCTTTTTGCMCTTCAGGGGCCGGAAAAATGAAAACTTTGTTAAGTGTTCTTTGTAATGAAGAATAAATTTAAAATCTCCGTCAGGTAAACTTTGAAAGTCAACAAGGTCCACTTGCCCACGTTCGTTTAAAGACGAAGATAAAATAGGCCGCACAACAACGCCTCGCATACTTTTTTTTKTTGATTTTTCCGCACACCTTTCACAATTAGCAATGTAAGCTTTTACAGCAGCCATTGTAATATTAGAGTAGTGCTCCATTATCTTCTTGTGTGTTTTTGTCTCRCCTTTATGTCCACTGGCCACATGCATGTCACGGATAATACTAGGAAAACTTTCGAYTACTGCCATAATACGTTGATCGCGCTTTCGCCGCACTCGTCTAACGCCAGCTACCTCGATTAAATCAAACTTCTCACGGACATGATAATATCGCCKATCTTTATTTATAGAAGCGTCATCAGTTAAAATTTTTACAGCTTCGGCATCTCGTTCTGCTGTCCATTTAGAGTCCATAGTTAATAAATTGATTTGGTAATTAATAACTAAATTACTAATATAGTAATATCGCAATGTAAGCGCACTTGTCGATCCGTTTGCACTTCACACACTGTTAGCTATTTCTCCAGGTAAAACGAATGAATGAACACTATTATATTATTTTATCAAAGCAATACAAACTAAGATAAAATGTTTGTACTTACCTATATGATGGCATAGTAT